TGGGTTTATAGTCCCACCAAAGCCAGGAGCCAGCATGAGGCACAAATGGATCTGGGCTGGGCAGGATGATATTCAACTGAACCTGGAAGAAAAATAGGTTATTTCTGAGGATAAAGATCAGTGCACAGTCCAGTGCTGGAGGAGTTGGGATTGTTTTCATGCTGTCTTTATCTTTGTAATTATCTCCTCTGGATGTCCTGGACCCATTGCTTCGTTATTCACTATCACGAGGTCTTTGTATAATTCTTCAGTGTCTCATGTATTTATGACCCTGAATGCCTTAACATCAGCTGCAAGCTTTGTCACTCCTTTTTTTTTTCTAATTAATTTTTCAAGATTATTTCTGGAAAAGCTGAAGTGCCTGATCAGAGCCCTGCCCAGATCCCTGTGGGGCTCCTTTCCAGTCCTCCCTCCATTCAGGATCTTGCCTATTGAGAGCTGCTCTTTGGGAATCTTTTAACCAGGTATTTATTTATTTCAAGTATTTTCTGTTAATCCCATGGTAGCTGCATTCCTGTAAGAAACTCGTGTGACAGACCTTTTGGAAACCCAAGCAGACTACACCTCACACTTATTTACCCCTCTAAAGAACTGTAATACCTTTATCAAACATTCATTTTTTCCAGGAAAATCAACTTTCTTTTCTTCCCAGTATTTCAAATGTATCCAACTCTGCACTAATGAGATTCTTAGTGACAATTTCACTTTGCCCAGGAGGGAACCTCAGACTTCAGGGTGCATCTTAACCCCAAACCCTTCGCATTTGTCACCTTGAAGCTCTCAGACAGTGACGCTGTTACACACAGTGATTACATGCTACAACTAAGTAATTAAACTGTTTCACCTCTGAGCTCTCACTGGGCACTTAGGTGAACCGTCTCAGCCTGGTACATTTGCACTCTCTAGTTTGGCTATTTATTCCTCAACTTCTTGTGCTGACACTTGAACACGAGCCAAATCCAATGCCACGTCCATATAAAGATGACTTTTGGCACAGGAACGTCTCCAAGCTTTTCCTCACTGACTACAGATGCAAAATATTCATTGTTTTTCTGTTCTGACCTTATCTCCTACGAATGCTTCTCTTGCACCATAGCCAACTTCTGACTCTCCAGCTTGACGTGCTTGAAGAAGTATTTATTATTGTTTCCCTTTTGCAGGTTGCTGCTGTGACTGGTTTTGGCTTGCCTTATTTCTCCTTTTTTTTGCATTTAAATTGTCAGGATACACAGTTTGTGCTCGTTTAGACAAAAAATACATTTATAAATATAAAAAGAATGGTTCCTTAAAGTCTGAGTGTCAGAATCTGATACTAATAGGTTTGAGATTCCGGGTTTCCTACTGGACAGAGATGTGCTGTTTGGTTTGCCAGGATGCAGAGACACCAGATTTTCAAGTGTGATGCATTTCTCTGGACAAAACCCATGACTGGTTGGGATGGACTTTGCCTGGCTTGGACGTCAGGGCTTTGCACCTTCCCTGGAGGAAGGAGGGAACATCCTCTGGCCAGCTGTGGTTATTGTGGAAGGTGTTTTGGGGTGAGATCCCACAAGAGCTCTGTGAGCGGGGGTTTGGGGCTGGGGTGGAGGGCTGTGAGGCTCCCAGCCCCCTCGGCTGTGTGCATGTCTGGAGGCCCTGTTGCCATGGAGAAGCCGTGGGAACCGTGTCTGCCTGCCTTGCCTGACTTGTTCCTAGCACCAAGCAAAGGCATCGCTCCAGCTGTGCAGGGCCCCCTGGCTGCCTCCTCTTCTGGGGTAACCCAGGCCCATAAACACCAGGGATAAACCCAGGGGCAGGGAGAAAACCCTAAAGGAAGGCAGGGAAGAAGCAAAACCAAGAGGGCAATCTGCAGGGATGGTTCCTGGGGTGCTGTGGGGTCATGGGGTTGGGTGCTTCTCCAGGGCACACAGCCCAACACGGGAAATTCCCTGTGGATCTATGGGAATCTTTCCCTGTGAGAGAGGTGCAGCCCTGGGACAGGGACCAGAGAAGGGTTTGCATCTCCATCCTTGGAGGTGCTCAAAACCCACTGGGCCAAGCTCAGAGTGAGCCCTGCCCTGGGCTGGAGCCTCCCCAGCCTCAGAGAGGGAGACCTTGCTGGGGAACGGGCAAGGCAGAGTTTGAGGGCACAAGGCAGAGCAGTCTGACCATGGGATGAAGATGGAGGCATCCATCTGGATGCTTTTTAATTCTGGGAATTGATAGCACTGGGCACGGCTTCATGGAGACTGGGGCTGCTTGCATGGCTCCAGTTCTCTGCAAGTGATTTTATTTCAGTTGCTCAGTCAAAACAGATGGATTTTTTTTCTCCTTTTCTGTTGTAGGAACTCTTTCGTGACATGACTGTACAACAAAAAACAGGGTGGGGGGAAGTCATGAGTAGAAATTTAATCGGAGTCATCTTCTGGGGGAAAAAAAATCCAATTTATTGAGGTTGGGTTTTGTTTTGTACATGAAAAATGTCACTGTGAGCAACTTTGGGGCGCTTCCAGGTAGATCTGGTGGGAATTGTGTCATGGATAGAGCAGACCTGCCTGTCAGTTTGGAGGGTGAGCTATATTTTTAAGGATTAGCATTTGCCTCAACTGGCAAAATATTTAAACAGAAATAAAGACCATTTCCCCCATCTAGTTTATATAAAGGGGGGAAAAGGGTTGGGAAACACAGTTTGACCTTATTTGTCAAGTATTTCCATGTCTTTATTGTGCACATGTCACTTTTTCTGCTCACAGCTTGGGCCTCAGCAAAGATACAGCTCTGAAAGTTTATTATTCATAGTGAATTGTTCAGATTGTGATAAAATTCTGCTTGGTGAGGTATTTGTATCCTGCTCCTTGTGTCCACAGAAACCAGGAGAATTGGGTACCTTCTTCATCTTTTTTCCTCTCTATAGAAATTATTTTTCAGTGGGTAGGTTAATAGACCAAACAGACTTAATTTGTTCAAATCCTATTATATTTTCTTGCAGGTTTTGTGTTGGAGTCTATGGAGAGAGAGGATTGAAGCTTTTCCCCAGCTTTTGGTTTCTTCATGCAGGGTCTCTGAAGGACAGTGAAACATGAGCTTGTGCTACAGCCCTTCCTCAGGTACACACAGGACAAGGTGTGCCTGTCACTTCCTCCTTCAGCTGCCTCTTTTCACAAAACCTGTAGGAATTTTAATTATCTATAAAACTTCTACCCCTCTGTCCAATATTATTGAATGAGTGGCTCTGAGTTTCTGGGGTTCCTGCACTTTCCTGCAAGAGACAGGGGGACAATCCAAGTGCTTTTTCTGTATGTATTTTGAATAATATGCAAGAATTTGCTGCCCCAGTCACTCAGGTGTCCTGAAAGTAGATTTATAAAATACTTTCCCACGGAAAAACATTTTTCTAAACCCCCCTAGGGATCGAAACCTACACCCCTGAAATTGATCTGGAGGCTGGAAACCCTCTGCTGTGAAGAAAGGCTGGAGGAGTTGGGAATGTTCAGATTCAGAAGGCTCTGGGGAGACCTTCTTGCAACCTTTATATATTGAAAGGAGAATTATAAGGAAGATGGTGGGAGAATTTTTATCAGGGCCAGGATAAGAGGCAATGGAATAGATTTAGACTGTGTGATAGGAAGAAAATTTTTATGATGAGGGTGGGCAGGCCCTGGCACAGGGTGCCCAGAGCAGCTGTGGCTGCTGTGGATCCCTGGCAGTGCCCAAGACCAGGTTGGACAGGGCTGGGAGCACCTGGGACAGTGGGAGGTGTCCCTGCCATGGCATGGGATGGAGTAAGTGATCTATGAAGGTTCCTTCCAAGCCAAGCAGTTCTGCGACTGTGTGAATTGAAAATCCTCTAAGGCTGGGCTGACTGGTTGATCAGCTCCTTCTGCTGGGTTTGTTTTCAGGCACTCGATGATCTCAGGGCAGGTGTTTGCTCTGGCAGGTGACACTGGACATGAGGGGGTTTCTGAACACCCATCTCCCCCTCATGGCTCTGCTGCCTCCAGCCACTCTGGCAATGGCTGCGCTGCTGCTCTGGGACAACAGCGGGGAGCAGTGACCTGCTCAGGGGACAAGGCCAGCGGTGGTTGTGTCAGTCCTTCAGAGCTGTCGTGTCCAAAACCCGATAGTCTGACCTTCGTGACCGTGTCCACCCCACGAGCAGACGGATACAGCTGCCCTGCTGTGGAAAATAAACCATGTGTGAAATCTTTCAGCCGATCTGTCAAAGGCAGGCTGCAGTTTTGTGTCAAAATGACTGATTTTTTTTGCAGGTCGCACATCTACTTCCTGACAGGAGTCTGGAAGGAGATACCCCCGGGCCTCCCCTTGCAGCCGTGTCTGACGGCCGCTGGCTGGATATTCCCCTCAGGCAGAACCAGGGAATCACGGAGCATCCCGAGCTGGAACGGACCCACCGGGATCACCCAGCCCAGCACCTGCCCTGCACAGAAACCCCAACAACCCCATCCTGTCCATCCCCGGCAGCGCTGTCCAAAGGCTCCTGGAGCTCTGGCAGCCTCGGGGCCGTGCCCATTCCCTGGGCAGCCTGGGCAGTGCCAGCACCCTCTGGGGGCAGAGCCTTGCCCTGAGCTCCAGCCTGAGCTGCCCTGGCCCAGCCCCAGCCGTGCCCTGGCTCCTGTCCCTGTCACAGAGCAGAGATGGGAGCTGCCCCTCGGGAGGAGCCGCAGCCCCCTGAGGTGTCCCTGGGCCTCTCCCTGCTCCCGCTGCAGCCCCACACTCCCCATGCCAGGATCCCACGGCCCCTGAGGCGGGGCCGGCGCCCCCTCCCCGGCCATGATGTCAGGCGGGCGGAGGAGGTGCCGCTGGCCAAATATAGCGGCGCTTCCTGGGCGGCGGGGCGGGCTCGTCCCTCCTTCTCTCCCTCCCTGCCTCCCTCCCTCCCTGCCTCCTGCCGCAGTCAATGGGGCGGCAGCGGCCGCGGCGGAGCGCAGCGCGGGCCGGGGCCGCGGGCCGGGGGCCGGCATGGCGGGGCTCTGAGGCGGCGCGGCGGCGAGGGGCGGCGGCGCGCCCCGGCATGGGCAGCCGCGGGGCCCGGCGATGAGCGCTCCCCCGGCCGCGACCCCCCGCGCGAATATGGGCACAGCCGTGTCCAAAAGGAAGACGCTCAGGAACGAGGCCATGTCGTCCGTGGCGGCCAAAGTGAGGTGGGTGCCCGGGGCGCGGCGGGCGGTGCCTCGGGGGCCCCGCGGTGCCGGCACCCTCCTCGCCCCCGGCCGCCTCGGGGGTCGTGCCGGGCTGGAGGGAGCCCCGAGACCCTCGGGACGAGCTCAGGTGCCGGTGCGGGCACGACCCGAGGCTTGTGCCCCAGGGCCGTCCCGGGGCTGGGAGTGGCAGCTGCCGGCGGGTCCCTGTCGCTGGCTGCCCCGATCGATGCCCCCAAAGCAGCCGCACACTCGCGGGTGGCAGCGGGCGGCCGTGCCACCCTTGCACCCCGCCGACCCTCAGCCTCTGGAGGGGTGACTGTGTCCAGAGGCGTCCCCGCCATCGGCCCGGCCGCTGCACCTGCAGGGCTTTATTTGCTGGGTCGGCAAAGAGCGTGTCAGAAGTGGATTTGTCAGGGATGGATCTTTATAATCGTCGGGAATTCGGAAGCGCGGTCAGCGTGCCCGGTGGTTTCTCCTCTGCTGAAATGCCGTGCGCGTGTCCGAGGGCAAAGTCAGCAGCCTCCTTCAAGGGGTCTCGCTCCTTTGAATGGAAAAACTGCTCTGTGAAAATCTGCACCCGCCGCGTCTGCCCTCCCCGGCAGCGTCCCGAGCCACTACATGGACCAGTTAGGGGATTTGGATTCTATATTGTGCTTGTTCTGGTTTTATATTGCTTATCCTACAGCGTAGTATTTCACTCACTGCCTGATCCCAGTGCTTTTCAGTATGAAGCATGGGAGATCCGAGAAAATATTTGCTGCTTAGTGGTACTTAGGTTTGAAAAGCTGTCAGAGAAGAGCTTTGCTTTGGTGCCCTTTCCCAGGTGAAAGGACCCTTCTCCCACGCTGCAGTGCAAGTGTCACAGCAGTCATCCGGTGACTGTTTGGGGGCATTGGCGCAGCTTTTTAGCTGCTCCTTCAGCACAGCTGTGCCAGGGAGTATGTCTGTCACTGTCTCTGCTTCAGCTAGACTGGCTCTTTGCTGCTGGGAAAACATTGGGAGAAATTAAACTTTTCAGCTGCATTATGTAACACCTTCTTTGTGTTGTTAGACAAAATTGCGTTAGAATAACCCGGAGTCGTGTGTAGAACTCAGTCCATGTTGCTGAAAGATCTCAGTCACCTCTCTGTGTAACTCAACATTACTGCATCTCTGCTGTGCTCAGAGGAAAGAGAAATCCTAAGGCTTGAAGTGAAGAGATGAAAAGCTTGTACCTTGCCATCTGTTTGAGTTGTAAAGAAATCCATCCTTCAGACTCTGGAGTATCTCGAGGGAAAGCTCTCCAGGCAGAGCCTGCAGCTTCTCCCCACATTTTGTTGCAGCCTGTCCATAACCAGTAATGAAAACGTGAATGCTTTCCATGGCATTCAGAGATTTGGAAGTGTGATTCTTTGTGGTGATGTCAGCCAGGTGCGTATACAGAAATGACACGTAAAACACCATAAGTGCCGTGGTGGGGTTCTGGGAGTGGGATTAGGCAGTCACACAAACAACACACTCAGTAATTGGGAGGATTTCAAATGGTGGTGTGGGTGTTTGGGAGCGACTAATGTGTTTTGAACATAATGACTTGTTAGCCTACACCAGGGTGGGCAGATGCTGCTCAGGTTCTATCAGCTGTGTGGAGTCCAGGAGGTGCCTTGGGGGTTCTGGTTTGCTCCATGCCTGCTGACAGCTGCAGGTACAGGTTTGTGGAAGCTCTGTGGTGTCTCTGTGCAGTAAGGTGGTTTGACCAGAAAAGTTATGAGTGGGTTTGGGCTGGGGGACATAATGCCCTTGAGGAGTGTGTGGTCACATAGACCACATGTCTCCCTGTTGGTGGCCATGCTAGAAATTCCTGATCCAAAAATCATTTGAGGACGTCAGTGAACTTGCTAAGGGGCTCCCTGCAGAGCCTCTTTGTGTGGAGAAGGTGCTGGTGGTGACAGGTGCTGTCCATGTGCCTCCATCCTGCTGCTCCAGGCACGGCTCAGTCCCATTCCCATGGGCTCAGAATTCCTACAGTGGCAATGACCCACCTGCTGAAAGGTTTCCTGGAGCACATCACACACAGCTGCTCTGCCCTGCCCTGGCTTCTGCTTCATGTATCTCCTGCATCCTCATCTACAGCAAGGACTCTGTAGGACACTGGGTAAGGCTACAAGAGACTGTTCTGTCCATCCCACAAGGGCTGGGCGCTTGGGTCACCTGTGTGGGTAGCACTGCTGCAATGGTCATGTGCCCTGTGGGTGTAGGCAGCTGGGGGATCCTGGGATTGCTTCTCTGCATCTTCTGGGCTCTGCCCTGTTCATATTTGTCATGACTTCTCTTTAGAGAGAAGAATCATCTCCTGGAATTCTGCTGCAAGTCCAAGTGACCATGGTGTGTATTTCTTACGTGTAGCTGGAGTGTGTGTGCGCACTTGGCTGTTTCACTGAGCAAGGAGCAGGGCTTGTTTGCTGGTGTGAGTAATGGGATCCAGGCAGGAGGTGCAGGCTCCCTAGATTGTTAAATTGAAATCTCTGCAGAGCCACTCAGGGGAGTTTTATGTCCCAGGAGCATTAATTAAGCAGCTTGTTGTGTGCTGGGTCTTTTAAAGTAGCTCCTTACAAACTAAGGACACAATTGCTCTGTGCCAAGGCTGTGCAGAGCACCCACGATGCTGCTGACTTTGGTCTCCGTGGTTGTTTTCTCCTGGGGGAGTTGCAGCGCCCTGCACGCCCAGGAAGGGCTGTGCTTGGTGCTGCTGCTGCTGTGGTCTCCTGTGAAGGGTTTGGATGTGAGATCTCCCTGCCAGGAGGGTTTGTTCCCTCCCTGTGTGCTTTTATTGTCCTGCAGCTCCTGGCCCCCAGTGCTGAAGGCAGGGCTGACGCAGTTGTCCTTGAGCGGTGACCTTGGTGCTGCCCCCCTGCTGACAGCCTCTCCAGGGCCCGCTGTGCCTGTCTCACCTGTGCTCCTTGGCTTCCTCACAACTTTTCCAAGGGTGCAAATGAACCAAAGCCCTTTAGCAATGGGCTTTCATTGCCCTTGGTCCCTTGACACCTGCAGGAAAACACTGGCACCCCAAATGAGGCAGTAAAACAGATGTTTTCCCGCAGCTCTGCTTTATATTGTGCTGGCCTACAGCTGTTGTTTGGGAGAGCGTGATGGTGAGAGCAAACAGACATGAGGCTTTTGCTGGGTGTTCCAGAACCATCTCTTCTTGCAGTGGTTAGCACAGGAAATATTTGAATTGGGAGTGTGGTTTGTCTTGCCCAATTCTATGACCTTGGCATCTAGTCCAGGATAGCTCACAGAGGGATAAGAATTTGGTCTCACTCCTTCTCTTCCTGCCTAGAGAGGGATGAAGAGTGGCTTTGAGCACAGCATTAGTGAAAGGGTGGATTTTTCATTGATGAAATGCAGAGGTAAGTGACCATGTACCTTATCCCAGGCTTCTTGCTGCGTGAGTGATTTTTGGCTTAGCTTGGGGTTCTTCATGGAGTCTAGATTCTTCTTTTCTGCTTGTGAATTACCTGAGGAGTGGTATGAACTGTCTCTTTGATTGCCTTTTTTTTAATTTCTGCTGCTCTTCCTCTCTTCTCCTGTCCAAACTTCATGATCACAAATTACTCCAATACTGTGGAGCCTCTAAGACCCATTGCTGACATCCAGTCTCCCCTTATTGAGTGTGAGAATTTTGAAGTGAAAATTTTCCAGCTACCATTTCTCTACATAGATATTTTAGAAAACTAATTTTTGTCAGGGTATTGTTACTATTAGGCTTAAATAACGTAGGTGTCACCAGTCTTTAGTGACTGAGCTGTTAACTGTGGCTGTGCTGGAGGTGTTCCCTTCTCTGCTTGGTGACAAGAGCAGGATTGCTGCTGTGGGAGGATGTAGGTCCTGATGATGCAGGTCTCTTTTCTCCTGTATGCCTGAGATGCAGCACTGTCAGATGCTGTCACAACAGATTCCTGCTGCAACTTCTCTGGGCATTACTTCTGAAGGAGCATGAGAAGGTGGTGGGTGTTCTTTATTTTTCCATGTAATACTCTTGAATAGTCCAGGTTTTGCTTAGCTTGCTGCTAAATGGAGTTATCTGAGGTCTTTCCTGTATCTCTGAGTGTTTCAATCTGCATTTCTTCACTCTGTAAGTGTCAGTTTGGTGGATAAATTTATGTGCATCAGTTTCTCATAGCTGCTCGTGTGCATCAAGGCCCCTTTTATCCTGTTGATGTGATTATTTCAGAGACATGAAGGCTATTCTGTGCTTATTACATTGTAATTGAGATCTTTGTTATTTGGCGGCTTTGCTCCTTCGAGCAAATCTCTGTCTAGACTGTCTGTGCCTCTTCACAGTTCTCTTCCAGACCTGATCCCAGCTCTGACATCTGAGGCACAGTGAGTACTGGAAAATGCCCCAGAAGGGCAGCTGCCTTTGCTGCCTGTGTTGTGCTGCCCCAATCTTTCTTCCCTCCCTGGAGCCTTTCTGATGGAATTCTGGAGGAAATGCTGCTGTTTTCTGAGGCTTGTCTGTGCTGGTTATGCTTAGCAGCACAGTGTGCTAGAGCCCTGGTCCCTGCTTGATGTCCTTTTGTTAAATCTAGCTGTGCTGACTGTGTGACATGCAGGTCTGCTCTGCCACTAGAATGAAAACCTCTCTCCAGATGAGTCAGGGCTAAACTTGTCCTGCCATCAGCTGATCACCTCTCAGTGCTACCTGCTCATTGGTATGCAGCTTTTGCAGTGTCATACACTCAGGGTTATAGCGGGCCCATGGAGCTGTGAGGCACCTTGTATTCATTTCATTTATGTGAAACAAGTTTTATTTTCCATCTCTTGCTCTTAAATTATCCCGAGGTGTCTCTGCTCAGAGCCCAGTTGAAGGGGTTTATGTCCAGTGCTGTCCAGTGGTGTGAGGGGGCTTGAACTCCATTGGCAGTGATAGTGGAGCCAGAGCTGAGCTGAGGAAAAGTCTGATTGTGTTACATGTGGTAACAGATAAAAGAGAGAGGAAAGAATAGGATGAATAGAACAGCTGCCATCTGTTTGAATTGTGCTCTGGCTTTACTGCGATCGTGCCGATGGGTAGTGAGGAGAGCGGAGCAATGGCACAGTAACAATGGCACAGTGACAATCCAGGTGAGTGCTGGTGAGCTGAGGGGACTCTGAGGGCAGGGGAGGAGCACAGAAGGCTTGGCAAGGGGCAGTGGCCATGAGGAGCAGGTGTGGCATCAGAGTCCCCTTGGCAAAGGGCACATGCAGACATCTGCGGGGGATCCGCTGAGGCACGGCCAAGGAGGAGCTGATGGGAAGCAGGAGGGAACCACTGAGATAATAGGCACAATAATTAGTGAGAAATTTCGGGTGTAATTGGCTGGAAATCCCCTGGTGCAGGCTGTGCTGTGTTCACCAGGGCTGGGGAGCCGTGCCCACGTGTCCGTGTTTGTTTGCTCTGGGTTGGCCTGAAGGGTCTGGGAGCCATGGGGTGGAACAGGCAGCACAGAGCTGCAGGCAGCAAAGCTTTTGAGCAGTGCCCAGCTGTGCTTCTGACCTGCACGAGAGCTGTGTATGGCCTGATCTCTGGCTGTGACCTGTTCTCTAGGAGCTCTGGCACCTGGGGTTGTACCCTCCTCTGCCTGGGGAAACGAGAGCGAGGTCAGAGACTCTGCAGCACCTTCCAGCTTGAGCTCTCACTGAGTGACAGCTTTCACCATGGAACACGGTGGGCTGGAGGGCAGCAGTGCTTCTCTGCCTCTGTCTTAGCTGGTTATCAGTTTTGGTCTTAGGAAATGCTTTGTACTGGTTTTTTGAGCTTGTGGTTTGCAAGCTAAAGGTGAAGCATTGGTTCAGGTTTTCAGACAGACAAAACAGCTTCGGGCACTGGCAAAGAGATGAATGGAGGCAATGACAGATGAATTTGGAGCTCGTGGGGCTTTTGAACTAGTAACAGATTCATCATCATATTTCAGCATTTTTTGTGTAAATCACCATGTTCTCTCACTGATAATTTACCTGAGAACTTGCTTGCTATTATTTTTTCTGCTGATGCAAAAGAGAAGCTTCAAAGTTTTTCCCAATGGCCTGAGTGCATGCCCGTTTGTGAATGGTGTTGGTGATGCCTTGCAAAGACAGACATTTCCATGGGAAGCCTTGGAGTCCCAGAAGTTTTGGTGGAAGAGATCTCGGAATCTCATGCCCAACCATCTTATTAAAGCCATGGTGGTGTGCAGGATCAGCTGTAGCTTTGGCTGAGCTTTAACCAGCTCTGAGATGGAGTACAGGAACAGCTCAGGAATTTGCTTGCAGCTGAGTAGCCTAATGTTAAAATCATAAACTGTTAAGGTTATAAAAGACCTCCGAGGTCAATGAGTCCAACTGCAAACCAAACCCTGCCACATCCATCACTAAACCTTGTCCCCAAGTGCCACATCCCCACTTCCAGGGATTTTGACTCAACCACTTCCATGGAGCAGCCACACTCCAGTTCCCAGCTTTGCATTTGTGTGTTGCTCCAGGGTCAAGTCTTGCTCTTTGCCTGGGCAGAAAGGTTGAGGGTGCCAGGAGCATCATGAGGTGCTTGTCCTCCTGGATGGGTGAACTGTGATGGTCACCCCTTTGCTCTCCATAGTGGGGATTGTGGGCTGGTTGGAGCTCCCCATGTGACAGAGCCTCCTTGTGACCTCCTCTGGGGGTGTTGGGCACTGAGGGGGACAGTTTGGGCAGCTGCCACCCCAAGCCAGTGTCTAAAGGTACAGCCTGGAGCTGGACATGTAAGAATCCAAAAATAGGGAAAACCTAGCATTATCTGTTAGTATGAAAAGATACAAAAGCTTAAACCTTTCTTCTTGCACAGCTCCAGCTGTGCTGCTCTAAAGCATTTTGCATTTGACTGTGCTGAAATTTAGTCCTGGAGAGATTAAATTACTCTTTCTTCATTGTTCATATTGATCCTGTGTTGCTGGCTGTGGAAGACAAATGGACTTCCCACTCCTTCCAGCCCAAGTCACTCTGGGCAGTGCTTTGGAGCCTTGTTAACCTTTTCTCCTCTGGGAGGTGGTGCATAAAAGCAGTGGGGAAGATCCTGCCTACACAAGCTGGGACATGCAAAGCAGAAGGTGGTTTTGGAGGTCAAAGCCATTTTCCACTTAGGTGTTTAATGGCCATTATGAGCCTTTTGCAGCAGCTTGAGCTGGAGAGGATGTTCTGAGGCACCTCTGAAGGAGGAGGACAGTGGATGTGATGCCTTGGGGTGGAGATCTTCTCTGTTGCAGCAAATCTTGTCCTTCCCCAGGAGATGCTGCTGTGCTTGAGGGCTGAGGGTGCTCAGCTCTGGGTTTCTAGGCTTGGCTTGGCTTGGCTTGGCTTTCCAAGGAGAGGTGGGTGGCTGTTTCACCTCCCTCTTTGCCACTCTCCACCCTGGCTGCCCAGTGGCAGCTCAGCTACAGACATTGGAGAGATTGTTCTGCAAACCTGGGGAAAATGGATGGCTGGGAAAAACCTGGCCCTAGTATTGTGATGGCTGGGAAAAACCTGGCCCTAGTATTGGCTCTCTTGGGTCACGGGTCTGTTAGACACAGGAGAGCAATCACAGCACCAGGACATTACAATTGCCCTGGCAGTTGGAGTCTGGAGTTACTGTATTCCATGCCTTGACCAAGGGTTCCTTTCCTGTGTGAGTTGCAAGCAGAAAGCTCTTCCCTGGTTGGAATATTCATAGGTTTGCTCTCTTACGTGGGCCTGGATGTGTGATAAGGGTTGAGCTCGCCCTGCTTGCTTGGTTCTTAATATATTCCAGTAAAATCTCAGTCATCCACAGGACTGGAATCCATCAGAGAAGCAGGAACTGCTTTTGTGGGAGGTTGTGGGTGACTCTCAAATAAGCTTGTCCAATAATCCAAATACTGACATAGCTGGGGCTTGAGAATTTAGGGTTCAGGTAGGTAAAGTGGGCATTAGCATCCACATCTGAACTCCCAGCTGGGAGCTTTCAGGACCTGTGGGAACCCAAATGATGGTTTGGCTCCTTCCTGGGCTGCCAGGAGGGGCTGAACTCAGGGGGCTGGAGACAGTGAGTCAGTTCCTGTGTGCATCACAGGATGCAGGTGCATTTCAATTCTGTTTTTTCATTTTTATAACAGAGAAGCTAAAGCCTAAACTAGTCCTGGATTTCTAGTCCAGCCCTGTTTCCCAGTTTGGCCTGGGAAACGCTGATGTTCCACCAGAGCCACTGGAATCCTGGTGTGTAATGAGGAAACCTCTCTGCTCTGGCAGTGAATTTCCATGGATGCCACCTGAGGCTGGGGGATGGCAGCTGCAGGGGCACAGCAGTGTGTTGGTATTGAACTGTTCCTTCTTTCCTTGGCCTTTAAGCATCTCAAATCTCTCTCTTTCTCTCCCTGGCTGCCTCCTGATGCTGGGACACAGAGCGGCGAGGGCTTTTGGAGAATACCTCTCACAAAACCATCCTGAAGGCAGGAATGGCTCAGGTAAGAGAACTGATGTGCCTTGGTTATGCCCATGTGTGCCTGCACCTATGGTTAATTGCCTTAGAATGAAAATACATTTATTTATCTGTTATGAACAGTGAGATCTGAGCAGAGAGGCAGGAGGAGCTGCCCCCAAGGAGAAAAGGCAGTTTGGTGACCCAAGGCTTGGGTGGGCTGTGGGGATGAGTTCATTTAGGGGACAAGTGCCCTGTCATAAATTCAGCCCTGCAGCTTAGGAGAAGTTGCAGCTGGGAAATGACTGCACTGCACAAGGCTTCTGCACTGTTTTGTGACTCCTAGGTTTTGCTTTAACTGGGGTATAAAAAGCAGGTGAGTTATATTCTGTTCACTGGTGTAAATCCTTGCTGGCAAAGGTGACATCTGGATTTATTCCAGGGGTTTGCTTCAACAAGGGTTAAACTGAGATTTGCCTAGATGAGGGCACTGCATGTGCTAGCTAATGTGTCAGTATTTTCCATGCAGATATTATCCCCATCAGCTTATCATGAGTTCTGCTTGATGGGCAGGAAAGTGCAGGATAAACTCACCAGACTTCTAACAGGGCTGTGTCTTCTCTGTGATGAAAGAAAATATTATGCAGGCAGTTGCAAAACCTACAGAAAATCCTGTGTAATCCACAGAAAGTCTGTGTGAAAAAGCCACAAACTGTTTAGTGCTGTTGAGCTGCTGTGCAGGGGATAAAGTTATTAAATAGAATGTAATGTGGAGTGATGTTATCATTTTAGGTAAGCTGTGTGTGTTTAAGCCTGTACAGGAGATGCCTCTTGCTCTAGGAGCAGTCACACAGTCTTTGCAGCCAGCTGAGTCCTTTCCTTTTCTCTGGGATCTCTTCTAATGACCTTCAAGTTGTCCTTGGCTGAATTGTGCTCATGTTGTGAATGGAAAGGCTCTAAGACAATGTACCGAGGTTTTCTTGGGTTCTTTTCACAAAGAACTCCAGGGACTCTTTACTTACAATATTTGGTCTAAGAACAGCATGTGGGGGTAGAAAGGGAAGGGGAGAGAAAGGCTGGGGTTTGGTGCAAACCTTTTTTTTTTTGTTGTTCCTTCCATCGTGGGCATTTCTGCAGCTGCTCCTGTCACCTGGAGTCTCTGCCAGTCCTTTTTGCAGCCCCCCACCCCAGTTTCCAACAGGAAGAAGTGTTGGCTCCTGCTTGTTTTGTAGTGCCCTTGTAGTACCTGTGGGGTCATGTTGGGGCCAGGCAGAGAATCTCTGCTGGAGACAAGAGGAAATTGCAGATGTGTTCAGGTGCCTGAGGCCTGGGAGTGGGAGCCTCTCTGATGTGCATTTAAAAGCTGCTGTTTAACTCATCCTTGGGGTGCTCCTGGTTCCTCTGACTGCGGGTTAGGAGAGCATGGAAATGGAGCTGATGTGACTCCTGGTTTATGTGTCACAGCCAGGCTCCCCAGAGCAGCATTTCAGCCCTGTCTCTGCTTGTGACATTCACGAGCTCTCCAGGGAAGCCTTTTCACCCACTGTTCCTTGGTGTATCAGCCTTGAGATTGCTTTTGAATCCAGGAGAATTTAGTTGCCACAGGCAAGAATGAAGCAGTGAGAAACACATTTGGAAATACCACAATACTTCTGGGATCCTTAAGTATTCACTTGGAAAGGAATAAAATTCCCTAGAAATTACTCTGAATTCTGAGGGAGAGGGGAGGGAAAAAAAAGAATCGTCATTTTTAAGTCATCTTCTGAAATTCTGCAATGTATAACTTAACACAGTCTGTAACACTTCTTTATAAATAACCCCAGTAGGAAGGTTGCTATCCAATAAAAAACACTGCAAGTAGAAAATTTGGCTCCTTTTAGTTCATCCCAGCAGCCTGATCACAGGGAAGTCACATCTTTCCTTCCTGCAGAAGTTCCACCTCAGGATCACTTGTTCAAGTTCTGGAGGCTTCACCTTTGGCTGGGCAGGTGCTGGAGCTGCCACCCAGTGACTCCAGGGAAGCAAAGGAGGAGCTCTGCTCCAGAAGTTGAAGGTGTAGCACAGATCCAGAGGGACCTGAATGAGCTCCAGCTCCTCAGAGAGCAGGCAGAGGCAATGTGAGCAGGGAGAAGCTGTGCAAAGCCCAGCCTTGTGCAGCCCAGCAAAGCCCTGTGATGCTGTGGTGTTGAATTCCCCCTTGCATGTGTTGGTGCCTTACATCCTGAAAGCTCAGTGCTCCAAAGAATCAAGTCCTCAGTGCCTGGGTGTGTCTGTCAGCTCTGAGCTGTCACCTGAGTGTTGTACCTGGTGGGACAGGCCTGTTTCTGCTGCCATAACTCCAGCTGTGCACCCAGGTGCTGCCTGCACTGCCAGCACACTGAGCTGGGTTGAAGGCTCTGGCCTAAATATGACTGGAAGGAGGCAAGCCTGGGTTCAGTCCAGAAAAAATGGTTTAAGAAATGTTTAAAGTGACTGATGAATGCAGTGAGGGAAAAGAGGTGGATTTTGAGGAGCAGGAAGGTGGCAGAGCCAGCAGTGGGACAATGAGGGCATAAATGGAGGAGGGAAGGACAGGATCCTCCTTTTCTGGACCCAAGACCTAGAACCCTTCTCTCCCCCTGTACAGGGCAGTTCTCATGCAGAAAATGAGGTGGATGTGAATCTTTGGGATGTCAGTTCTTTGCTGCTTTATCTGCTGGTCCATCTCCTCAGCAGAGGGGTGAAGCTCTGACACCCCAGGAGATCCATGGAGATGCCAAGTGTGCAGACACTGCCCCAACTTGCTCCACTTCTGCTGCACTTTCTTCTCTGAGGATTGTCCATTTCAGTTTGTCCTTTTTTATCTTTTTAGTCCCTTGACTCCAAGGAGAGGAAAAGATATAATGGCATTTGCATCCCTCATAACTTCACATTCCACAGCTGATCAAAGAGCTGCTCCTTCAGTCGTAACTTCTGTTTGTGGTGGCTCCTCTGGAGAGCTTGTGTGTGTTTGTGGCAGAATGTCTTGGAGAAACTGGGGAGTGGTAATGAAGAGCTGCAGAGGGGTTGTAGATCAGCAGGACAGCCCAGCTGCCTTGTCCAGGGCTGAGTTATGTGCAGGGCTGTGTTTGCCTTCTGTTTTCAGTGAAAGTGCAGTGTGCATGCTCTGCCTGCTTTGCTGGGGCAGGGTGTGGAGCTGCACAGCTGCACGCGGTGCAGAGGCTTGCAGGTGTTGCAGGGTGTAGCTGGGAGAAGAAAGGTGAGGGGGAGCCTTTGTTGGTTACAGCTTCTGATTCTTGCTGCTGTGAGACCCAAGCACTCATGGCTCAGAAATGTTGTGTGACTCTTCCTATACAACTCTCCTGTGTCTTATTCTGGAAGAGATTTTTTCCAGGTGACTGCAGAGGTGCATTTACCTCTCCTCTTTCTCAGAGGTTTTGTCAGGGATGATGACCACACAGAATTTTCTTCCCTTTGTTTCCTTCTTGAAGCAGGGCAGTTTCCTGCTGGTGGGGTATGAATGCAGAGGATGGAGGGCTTGTCCCTTTGGGATCACTCAGATTTTTTCTCCCCTGATCTTTAAAATATTTTCAGGAATTAGAAAGAAAGGGAGGGTTGGACTCTGCTGCAGGTGACAGGATATGGATGTGCTGAGGGAGCTGCTGCCAGGGTGCTGATGCATCTCCTGCTCTCTTCCTGCCTCTGTTAATTGCTGGATTATTTATGCAGGCTGGAGGTCTGGGAGGGTTCCCATGAAGAGCACTCTGCCTTGTTCAGCATTCATTCTGCCTCCAAGGCTGTGGCCAGAGTCTTTGCTGACTGTTGGAGCTTTCTGGTGCCTTTTAATGTGGAAGTGGGTGTCTCATGGGACAGACTTAGAAGAAAGATACAGAAGGGGATTAAAATGTGAAAGGGAAGTGTAAAAAGGCTGCAGAGAATAAAGCATGGAATAAGTAATCACTCAGTCTTACAGAGCTCATGGAACTTTGGACATTCTCCAGCTTGGGTGTCAGAGGCCCCACACTGAGATAATGCACATTAGATTTTATCTCCATGTTCTGGACCTGTGAGAAGAAAAGGTCCCAGGGCATGGGGCAGTGACATTGAGGAGGACAGCAAGCAGAGCCTTTGAGAAATTCCCCAGACAGCAGGGATCCATCCTGGTGTGAGCTGGGATTCAGACACAAGGATCGGGAGGAGCTGTGGGAGGTTTTTCTTGTTACTGTTTTAATCTTGTAACTGTTTTAATCTGTTTTGCTCAGTGGGGTTATTGGGAGGGCAGCTGCTGCTGCTGGAGTGGGGGGCTGTAGGATGCAGCATGGTCTGCCTGCTGGACCAGCTGCTCTGGGCAAGCTGTGTGGGAAAGGCTTTGGAAGTGAGAGAGGGAGAGATCCAATATAAAGTGTCCTTGGTGCTGCAGGGGTGATGGGCCTTGGGCAGGAGCTGTGAGCCAAATTCTCCATGGCTCCTGCTAAACCAGCATGGCTACTGGTTTGCAACAGGACAAACCAAAGGAGGCAGTTAGCTGAAACTGGAAAAGCTGCTTTTTAAGCTCAAAAAAAGTAATCTTTGTGTCTTTCCTTTGTTTTTTGCATGATTTTTCAGCTATCAGTTGAGTGTGTAAGGAGAAGAGGGCCCTGTGATCTTCCCCAAGCCAAGTGGCAGTGGGGAGGGATGGCAGGAGCAAAACCATGTTTGTGCCTGTGCTGGGTGTGGAGCCACCACTGGATCAGTCACTTGTGTTTGGAGCCTGGGCTTTGGCTGTGAGTGTGTGTGCAGGGAGCAGCCAGGCACAGAGGAGCTTCCTGATGCTGCCAGAAACTGGCAGGGAGTTAGAGAGACCCCAGGTGAGGCTTCATAGCTGCTTCAGGCTGAGTAACCTGTGAGCTGAGCTTCCTGTGCCACCAGCAGGTAAGGCTGCAGCTGTGCAGTGCTCTGAGAGGGACATTCCATCTCCTGGGTTTACACTGAGGAGCTGCCAGCCCAGCCTGGTTCAGAGCAAGCACCAGGCTGGCCTTTTTCTCTAGAGATGTTTGTCCTGTCCCCAGGACAGACCCAGCAGTGCAG